CTTCTTGAACATCCATCTACCCGAGAGATATCTTAGCAGTAACTGGCATGTCATGACAAGCTGCCCATATTTATATTTTTATATATAGATCATGATTCTGAGAAAAATCTACAACTAGGAATGGTAGTACACACCTTTAATCTCATCACTTGGGAGTCTGAGGATCACCATGCATGTGAGGCCAACCCGAGCTACATAGTGAGCTCAAGGCCAGCCTGAACCACAAAGCAAGACCCTGTCTAGGGAGGAAAAAAAACACAACAGCTGCACAAGCCAACTAGAATCAGCCTGCCGTCTCTTGCTGTCACCCTTTTGGGGCTGAGTGGCTCATTTTCCATTTCTTCCAAGGTCACCATCACGACATCACAGCACTAACACCACATCTTTTAGGATAACAGTATTTGGTGTTTTGCTGTTTAAAAGAAACTCGCTTTCCAGGAAAAAGAAAACCTAAATGACTTGGTTGAAGACAACGCACAGTAGAAGTTTCAGGAAACTCGGAGCTCAGTAGTTGTGGCACTCATTGGGATTGCTGGGTCAGAGAGGCCAGGGGAACTGATGGCGTGTGTGTTTGGTCACTGCAAAAGAGCCCCAAACCAGTGCGCCGAGGGCCTGACCATGAGGTGTGAAAGAGCAGGGTAAGCCCAGACTGGAAAGGAGAAATGCATGTAAAGCCAGTGGAAATAGACGCCGTTGGGAGGATAAAAATCTAAGGTGACTAAAAAGACTAAAGAGCCCCAGCACCCCCACAGACCCTTACATTGGATAGTTTAGTCTTTCTGAAAAAACAACAAATCTAGACAAATACAATCTCTTCAAGAAACAAAGCAAGTCTAAAATCCAGAAGGGCAAATATTAAGTCTTGTAGTTCCACGTGGAACATCCGAAGCAATCTGTGACAAATTGTGAGCTCCCTGTGGCTCCACCTCTATGGCACTCTTGGTGGTAGCTCCCATGGCTTCTCTCTTAGGCCGGCTTTGCTCCTTCCTTGCAACGTTCCTTAGATGATCCATGTTTCTGGCTTTTCCCAACTTGCGGAGTCTTCACTGCACTATAGGCTTCTTCTCACTGACAGCTTCACACACTGCCCTCCCAGGGCACACTGCCTGGCCTCCTGGGCCTTCTTCTGAAATCTGAGTGGAAGCCTTCTTAACCTCATAACTTTTGCATTCTGCATGCACATAAAACCGCACCACCTAGATGATGCCGGTGTCCACTGCCAGCTAGAGCAGTAGCCAGGTTTTCTTCTTTCTTGGCTATAGGGGACAAGTGCCTGGATGCTGAGTACTCTGACCTTGATTCCAAGGAACAAATTCTCTATGATGCCACCATTCTAGAACCTGGTACGGGGCCATCACCACCATTCTGGACCATGGTGGGTGCTCTGCACCTTTCTCCTCTGAGCAGTTTTTTTTTCATTTTTGTGATTTTGAGGTTGCAAAAGGTGGAGATTTGCTGCTTTTTATGATGCCCTCAGGCTATCTTTTCTATTCTCTTGTTCCTTTTCAGCAATGGAAATCCTCTCAGCTCTCTCTTTGCAATTCACAGCTTTATTAGAACTTCCTTTCTGGCCAAACTCACAGCATTTTAAATCATCCTGCTGGGTTCTTTGCTCTTGATTCTCAACATAAATCTGACTAAAAGCCCCCAACTTTAGCCATACCTCTGCCTCAGCATTTGACTGCCTTGAAATTTATTTTGCAACATTAATCAGTCCACCACACTTAATCTCAGTCTCAGCCAAAGTCTCTAGACATGAACAAAATGCAGACAAACTTTCTTCCAAGGCATAACATTGTCTGGAGTCCAACAACCAATGCAGTCCTTCCCAGAAGGAATCTCCCATACAGAACAGTTGAAGGCATTCCAGTGTTTCTCTTTCAAGAGACATCTCTGAATATTTACTATCTCTTCCCACAAGGTATTCCCAAAAGCTCTTCAACCACATGATCGGGTATGGTCACGGCAGTGACCCTGCTCTTGGTACCAAATTCTTTTTGGGTTACTTTTCTGTCTTTGCTAGAACAAAATACCTGACATCCAAAATTAAGGAAGGAAAAGTTTATTTAGCTTACAGTTTGTGGAGGTTTCACTCCATGCTTGGCTGGCTCTAAGGCAGAGTGGCACAAGGCAGAGGGTAGCAGTTCATGGTGGCTGAAAACAGCAGAGAGCAAAGGGAGGAACAGCAGCTGCAGCAGCTAACAAGCTTCTCTCCCTATTTTATTCAGACTGTCTGCCCCAAGGTGGGTGTAGCAGTCAAACCCATAATCCCAGCATCAGATCATGAATTAATCATGGGCCAGGACATAGCCCAGAAGAATAAGCACTCACCTGGGAAGCGCAAGGTCCTAAGTTCAATCCCTGGTACTGCAAAAAATAATAATAATCACAAACACTAGAAGCTGCCCTAATGAGTACATGAGGCTTTAGGGGGACAACTAGACAGAAACCATAACAATTTTCATCATACTAAAATTCACAACTTCTAGAGAAAGCAAGGGAATAAAAAAAAAAGTTAGCATGTGTTACATACATTCTAAACTCCAGTGATAAATGTAATTATTTTGTACTGCAAGCATGCCATTAATTAAAATTTTCAAACCTTCATGAATTAGATTAGTGTTTTACAAAAGAGACTTGAAATAAAAATTTTAAAAATCACAACTTCCAGGGTGGGGAGATAGCTTAGCAGTCTAAGCGCCTGCCTGGCAAGTACAAGGACCCAAGTTCAATCCCCTGTACCACATGATGTGCTGGCCCTGGAACTCCTGGTGCACCATGCTGGCCCCGAAACCAGGTGTGGTGGTGCTCACCTGTAATCCCAGCTCTGAGGAGACTGAGACAGGAGGATCACTATGAGTCCAAGCTGTATAGCAAGACCCTTTATCAATAAATTTTTTTTTTAATCAAAACTTCCACTCACCAAAAGAATGAAAGGACCATGGAAATGACATTATGGTCCAAGAGGTGGTTATAGCAGAGCATGTGCTTTGGGGTCATAAAACTGCTTTCTTTAACCTCTGGACTCTACACCTGCGAAGAGCCCATCTCCTGACAGGTTCTGTGATCGCCCATTCTCCTCCATTCTTGAAAGAGGAGGACTTGTAGATGGCAGCACCACATGCCTAAGGAAGGAGCAAAGGGTCAAAGTCACCTGTGGAGAGCCCAAGACCTCTTCCCGAGGTGAGCAAAAAGCAAGCATCTGCTGCCCTGAGGCTACCTGAGGGCTGGTGGTCTCCATGCCAAGGTATTTATCCTCACCACATAGCAGCAAGGGACTGGTGTTCCTAATAGGAAGAGGCTAGAGGAACCAGTGTGGTGGTTGTTGTTGTTGTTGTTGTTGTTGTTGTTGTTGTTGTTGTTGTTGCTTTTCTGTTTTGTTTTGGATTTTTGCAATACTTGGGATTGATCCCAGTGCTCTGGACAACAAAGGAATAGTACTTGTGCCCACTAACGTAGCCCCAGCAACCAACCCCCCTTTGAGGTACTAGGGATTGAACCCAGGACCTCTACAATGAACTACATCCTCTTCCTCTGAGACAGGTTGCCCAGGCTGGGCTGGAACTTTTAGTCCCCCAGATCAGCTCCCCAGAGTATTGGAATCCACCATTTTTTTTTTTTTTATTTTGAGAGAAGAGCTCAATAATTTGACCACACTGTAAGCAGCTGGGATTACAGGCATCCACTACTGCATACCAATAGAAATCTTTTTTTTTTTTTTTTCGAAAAAAAACCCAAAGATTTCACAGAAGAAAATATGCATGGCTTTTTTTTTCCATAATTTTATTGAGAAACAAATAGCAATGAGACAGTTTCAAACCAAACTGGTAGGACAGTTTCAATAATTAACACATTGCATACATTCTTCCTAGTGGTTAATTGCTGTACAAGATGCGGACTTGAGATCCTATTTATAAACACCATTAGAACAAATCCCTCTATTCATTAAGAGACTGTAACTATATATCTATCCTAACCACTTTGAACACACAGATACCAAATGGACATTCATCTGTATCTCCTTTTTTTGTTAACTTCCAGCATTTAAATATTATAGGTATGTAAACTCAGCAAAATATTCTAAAAGAGTCCAATAGTCCATTATAGTATTGGGTCTTCCGCTTCACTGGCAATGTCAGAAATTGTTGACCTGCGTTCCCTACAGCTCAACATAACAGCAAGGCTTTACTTCTTATACTTCGTGCATGGCTTATAAATTCATGAAAAGATGTTCAATCTCAGTAATCAAGACTACAAGTTAAAATAATGAGACAAAACTTTTTGTTTGAAAACATGGTGAAATGGGCAAGTCTGTTCCTTCTACACAGGGGAGAAGCTGAGCTGAGGAGCTCTACCCCACTTGTACCCCTGGTGCTGTACAAGTCAGGGATCTGCTTCCCTGCTAACCCAGAAACTTCACTTATTAGTTCATCCTCAAGGAACTTTGATACATGCACCAAGGAGGTGTACACACAGTGTGCATCTGGGTCAGGGAACATGAAGGACCAAGTGTCCATCTGGGTCCAGCGGTAGCCACTGTCTGTGGGTAAAGGGAACGTGACTCAGCAAGGACAGGGAAGTAGCCGCAGCTTGCGCCAATAGGTAGGTAGAACACTGAGCAGAGAAGACAGGCAGTGGGGTTTGACCACTGTAAAGTTCAAAACAGGCAGACTGAGCAGCATGCTGTTGGAATGCATACATGGTAAAGCTGGAGAAAAGTAAAACTGGGTGGCAGGGTGAGAGCAGGCAGGCAGGCAGCTCCTGGCGGGGCCAGGGCGGGGCTTAGCTCTGCTCCATAGTTCTCCACAGGTTACGAATGTTTGATGCAGCTCCTGCCTTCAAGTCTGGAGAGAGCACATTCCCCTTGAGCGAGTGTGCTACATTCAGTGTGAAGAGGTACACTTCCACCTCTTCTTGAGGGCACCCTGTAGCCAAGGTCATTGGTGGGACCAGCTTCCACTCGGCTGAGGCCACGTGCTTACATTCTCCTAAGGAAGAGCAAGCACCGCTGCCCACTGACTCAGTTTCTCTTTCTTTCCAGACTGCTAGAGTGGATCACCCCAACAAGAAGCTCCGGCAAGACATGCATGTAAAGGAACCTTGAAAGCATTGGGAAGAACCCCCATGATCCTATGTTCAAGGGAGGAGCAGAGAGGACCCGAGTCCACATGCAGCTCCCTGGGCAGAGGATGCAGCAGAGAGGCGGCAGGGGACCTGCACCCCTAGTGGCTGTCACTGGGGTCAGCTTGGGGGCAAGACAGAGTGAGCGCAAAGAGGTCCTTCAGACACAGTGGGACACTGCAGGGCCCTTTCCCTGGTTCCCAAACCAACTGTTCCTGAGTACCAGCAGTCCCCACTCACTGTTAGCCAGTGCCACTGGAGGGCCCCCAGCACTAGCTTCTGACTTCAGAAGGCCACCCAGAAGAAGTGGTTAAGAAACCCACTCAGTGTTCACAACCTTCTGGTTATCTAAGATGTGCTCAAGGGGAAACCCCTGAACCAAACATCAGAGATCTTGTTGCAGGAAAATGTTTAACCAAAGCTAGAAACTTGTGAGGAATGTAAGACGTCCACACTGGCCAGGACCTCTCACCTGGGAACACATCCCCAACCACTTGTCCAGCAAGTACTGTCTCCCAAAGCCTCGTCGTACAAGAAGAGCACTGGCTAACAGGGCTCCAGCCAGGCACCATGTGCAGAGAGCCTGGGCCCGAGACCAGACATTGAGTGTCCTTCAAAGAAGTGCTTTGTGAGGACTCACTGGCATGTGTCCCTAAAGCCTCATCCCCATTGGGCAAAAAGGCAGAAACCATCTCAGGGGAGAAGCAGAAGGTGAGCATGTTGGACAGGGGCACTCTGCCCCACAGGACCAACATCTCAGGGACACAAACCAGCTTCTCAGCAGCAGGGCCTTGTCTGCCATCTGCACAGAGAGGAACAGTGGCTTAGACGTGGCCAGGCTGGGTCCACTCATTTCCTGGCAGGCTGTGACGCTGTCGTGCACCTGAGCTGTATTTCTTTTGACCTCAGTAGTCCCTCCCAATTTGGGCACCAAGATGTGATATTCCTTTTCTGTGAAAGAGAGTGAGACACCAAGACACACTACAGAGGAAGGCAGACCTGGAGGAGGGAGGGGCCTCCTGGCCCCAGATGCACATGATTCAGAGCTTCTGGGGAGACGCAAAGGAAGATGGCATAGACTTCCAGAGGTAGTGTGGACAAGGAGCTGGGCCCTGTGCCCCAGGGCAGCTGTAGGCTGGGATACTGCTCTAGCCTCAGCCCAAGCCTTCTAGAACCTGCTGCCTCAAGAACTTATTGCTCGTTCCTGATTTCCTCACTCACCAGCTATATGGTTAGTGCACTGAGGACAAGCAGATTTTCCTCACCTTAACCACACCTTGCTATAGGGACACCCAGGTTGGCAGTGTTGCACTGCATCTCCAGGGAAGAAGCTGTGGGACCCGCAGAGGGTTCCTGGTGCCCCTTGGCACAGCCACCTGCCCATGCCCACCTCAGCCTCATCAAGGTGGGCGGTGTTTGTCTTCACTTTCCTGTGTTTCTAGTTCTGATCCAGCTGAGCCCTTAGCTGTCCTTATATCACATCACTGGGCATGTGTCCTGCCCTTATTATGAACTGCAGTGATTGGTGCATTGTGAACAACCTTCGACAGCCATAGCTGTAGTCTCTTGTGTGTGCCAGCTACTCCCCTGGTGTGGTGTTTGCCAGTTACATTGTCCAAATAACTTTCCAGTTGGCCAAAGTTGTTAAATTTTCATTTTCATATAATATCCTTAGCCCTTAATAGTGTCAACACTGGAACATTCCATTTGTCTTTGTGTGTGGTTCCCTCTGTGGATTCCTGTGCAGGTCCCCACATTGCCTACAGTGACTTACAGTACTCATTAGCAGACACTGCCTTTTCCTGCTGCTTATGGATATCTATTTTCTCAGAGTAAAAGTCTATTTCTAACTCACTTCCTGTGTGCCAGAGCATTGCATTCTGGGGGTGCACTCGAGTCCTCCAAGGCAGCTACCAGCTTCATCCCCCAAACAATAGGGCACTTCCTTCTCTCCAGTGAGTGTCTTAGGACACTCTGTTAACCAAACTAACATCCCTTTCCTCGTGACAAAACTCGTTCCTGCTTTTTCGGCCCCAGGGACACTAAGTTGGAGCTGGACCTGTTGATGCATGTCTGCAGTCAAGATCCTGAGGGAGGCCTCCTGCACGCTTCCCTCAGACCCTGCACTTAATCTTGTCAGGACCTCTGTGCTTTGTTTACTTACCTTTTTATTTTATTTTATTTGTTTTTTGTTTGGTTGCTTGGTTGGTTTGCGGGGAGGATTTGTTTGTTTGGGGGGACTTTTGAGATAGCGTCGCACTCTATAGCCCAGGCTGGCCTCAAACTCCATGGCAGGCAGACCTTGCCTCAGCTTCCAGAGTTCCTGGCTCATAGGCATGCATCACCACACCTGGCTACCCTTTAGGCTCCTCACAAGGAGCAGTCGTGTCCCCCAGAGGACACTTGGCAAATGTGCAGGGATAACATTATCACAACTAGGAGGACCCAGTGAGCCTACCCAGGAGTGCTGCCACACACCCTCCAACACATAGGCAGCCCCGAAGCCGGCACTGCCACAGGTAAGGGATACTGAGTTAGATCTATGAAATTAAGCCAACAACTAAAACATTATTCATGAGCCCATAGAACAGCACGAGAGGTCCTGACAAGGACCTTTTTCTGAGATTGAAAAGATAAGTCATTGCATGTTTCTGTGGTCTGTAAACCATATTTTGCCTTTTTTCTAATCCCAATTCTCCACAGCCCTAAGACTAGTTTTTTTGTGGGTTTTTTTTTTTTTTTTTTTTTTTTTTGACTGAACTGGGAATTGAACTCAGGCCCTTGTGCTTGACAGGGAAGCGCTCAT